CGAGCAGCCAGCTAGAGAGCAGCCGGAGAGGACCACGAGGTACTACTTCACCAACAAGGTCAATTATATCCAACCTAGTATCCGACATCCACCCATCGCCCAAAATGATTTTGAGATCAAAACCATCATGATCCCAATGATTCAGAATAGTATCTAGTTCAATGGGCTTTCAGAATGAAGAGCCAAGAGATCATATTAATCAATTTGGAGCTCACTAATGGGATCAAGGCCAATGGGGTGCCATAAGATGCTCTTCAATTGCGTTTGTTCCCATTCTCCTTGAGTGTAAGAGCAAGATCGTGGCTAGTCAATCAAGCACCACTTTCCATCACCTCTTGGACCGACCTAGTGGAGAAATTACTGACTTGGTATTATCTCATTCCAAGACTGCGGAGCTAAGGTGGAAATCACCCATTTCCCCAGAAGGATGACGGAACGTATAAAAATATTTTTCATAAGGTTCACAATTTTATTGTCTTACAGTCAACCATGATGAATTTCATATTCTGAAAGATTTCTTAATTCATATGTCAGCTGATTACGATCGTTCTTTATTAAGTTCATAATTCATGATGAAAAAGGTCATTTTGTAGCTTGTAGTTTAAAGATGTAAACTCAACATTGATTCCTTAAGGTGAGAAAGGTGGAATAGGAGGGTTGAAGGGTGGAGCAAGCGTTAACATGAAAGTTTGAATGAGAATGTCGTTGACCCGATGCCGACAATTGGAGAGTGGAACAGAAAGCTGCAATGGGTTGAACATTTTATTTCCTTGTGATACTCGACAGACAGAAAAAGAGATTAAAAAAATCTGAATTAAAAGGGGTAAGGGGATGAACAAGTTTTAATGTAAGTGGAGATGGATTTTTCATTCATGTTCATTAAAAAAGTGATGTGATAAAATGTATATGCAAATTATCGTTAGAATAATAAAGTTATTATCGTCCCACAAGGAATGATACAACTTTAGAATTAACGATTAAAATTAAGAAACTAAAAGAAAAATGTTTTGTAGAAACTAAATGGAAAGCAGTAACTAAACTAGAAACCAAGTTAGAAATTAATTTCAAAAATATTTAATGGTAAAAGCAATAAGAAAAGATGGCCTGAAATACACTATCTAATTACTTGACTGAACCCTCTTATGAATCAATTTAATTCTCATTCAAATGATCAAGGTTATCGTTAAGGTGATAGTTATGTTTCTGAATACTCACTAGTCACTACAGATTAAGTAATCAATTAATTGTTTACTCTTGTACGACCAACTAATAAAGTATATAGTCTAAAGTCTGATAACTCCTATATTTACATATTTTAGTAACTTTATAAAAATATATTATTTGTAATGTAATAAGGTGTGTCAGTAATAATTATCGAAAGTGTGTCGGTATTTTCGTGTTTAAATTTGTACACCGAAAAGAGTGGGCCTCTCACAAAAATTCTAGCCAAGGTGTGTTGGGCGACATACCTTGCTAAAGGGTGGGTCCACCCCCTGCTTGGGGGTGGTACTTTAGTTTGTTTTTTAAGTTTCCCCACCATGGCGTCAACGATCATTTTAAGATAGGAACCTTTTACAACATGTTTTCAAGAGGACCGTCAGATCATAAACTACTGTTTCTTCAAGGAGGACTTACTTGTACTTTTGTTTGTGTGTTTTGACCTATTGTGTTTATGCTTTTTCTTTTGGTTTGAGACTTTCAATATTGTGATTTATGTAATAACTTCACCCATGCTTGTATGTTTGATGTCTTAGCTTCTTCTCCTCATCCAGGTCCACAATTCAGTCCCGTTTTTCGAACTAATCCACAAACTTAAGTGATATGACTTTGACTCGCTCGAAACTACACCGCGAATCAATACCGACTAGTGCCCGAGATTTTAAACTCTAGCCGGGTGAAGTATAGGGCAAGTATTTAATTGTCAAACCCGGGTCGGTCCATGTACCCCTACTTCAATCGCTTAGTTTGTTATCTAGCAAACGTTTTTGGGTTTAAAACTATGAAACCTACAAAAAAAAATAAGCAAGTAAAGTAAATCGAAGTTGTCCCAATGAGAGAAGAGTTCACCCAGGTGTTTCTCCCCCTAGGTAACAATTATGACTTGAAGGATCAAGTGACCGTGTGTGGTTAGGGGGTTTTAAACCGCAGGGAAGTCTAACAAATAGCCAAAGTTACCCTCTTAGTCTCTAGGTCGAGGAAATGGGATATGATCCAAGCCACTAATGCGCCCTCCCAACCTATTGACTAAGGAATGGTTAGACTTCACCCTCGAATTGGAGTTCGGACGGCCACCCACAACCAAACCCTAAGTGCTAATACAAAATAGGAGGTTTGCCCTGCATTAACCTAACTAGGAAGCAATGGCTTACCCAAGAAAACCCAGCATTCAAGCCTCTTTCAAAGAAATGAAGGGGGTTTTCTCTCTACCTAGGTTAGAATGACAATTAGATTGATAGGATTTCACACAATAATACGACCCTGGGGGTGTATTTTTATCAAAGTCACGCAGCAAACAATCAATCCGAAGATTGATTGAACTCGAATCAAGAACAACGCGTTCTTAATACGAAAATTGGATAAAACGGAACCAACGGACAATTCCACACCTGGGGAAAGCTCGTATGGTATAAAAGGGTAGTTGCTCGACCACGATTGAAGGTACTATTCAATCAATACAAAGCTCAGTAAGTTTGGAATCCACCAAACCCAAAACAAGTTCGCAAACTTGCAAAAACCAAATGGTTTCTTTTCTATTCAATCAACTCTTCATTTTACAGCGTGAATTTGAAAGGTATTTAAAGACAATAAACCCTAATACAACCCTACATGAACAAGGAAACTAATTATAACAGGAAAAGGCTAAAGAATTCGTGTAAAACAAGGTAACTTGCAAGCCAAGAAACTGACTTAAAACACAAGCAAGTCTGCCTAGGAAAACAGGCTTCATAGCATCTTTGAGCCCTTCGAAAATGGTCTTCTAGGTTGATTAGAACTCAACCAATTCCTTTCCTTTGTAGAAGGAAACTCCCTCTTTCAGCTCCAACTTGAAACAGCCCGAGATCATTTTCTAGCAGTTTTCCAGTTTTGAGGTAGTCTTTTGATGGGCTTTGAAAGTGACCTTCCAAACATCCCCTTGAGCTCCAACATACACCAATGTAAAGATAAGAACTTTATCTTCAAAACAAGCTCTTGGTCTCCCATTTTCATTGAGCCATTTGTGAGATACAAGCTTCCAAAGTAGGCTACCAAAAACTGTTTCAACACTTGGCCAAAAATCAGAATTCTTCAAGTTAGTTGAGATGGCTTCTTTGACAAGTAATTGTGAATTGTGGGTTGATCCAATTGGGATCATATCACACAACACAATCATTCATGAATAATACCTCCACATTCACATTAAACAAAACCACACACAAATCATTCAATTCATACAAGCATTCACATAGTTGTAGCTAGGGTTTATAAACACCCAATGAATAGGTAGGCTATTCCATAGCTAGGGAAAGGAAAACAAGGAAAATGAGAAAAAGAACCATGAATAGATGAAAATCTTTCCTCTTTGTTGCTTGAATCTCACTTGAGAAGAAGAAACCTCCACTCCTTTAGCTTGAAATGAGCCCAAATCTCCTTCATCCTCCTTTGAATTACACTTTCTCTCTCTAGATTAGAAAGAGGAAACCCTAATCTCTCACTAGAAACCCTCCTTTATTCTGAAACTAAAATCCTAAAAAAACTCCCTTTGGCTCTCCCTCCTTCTTCCTTTCAACTCTCATTATATACTGAGATCGCGCCCAGTTCACGGTCGTGAACATCAGGACGCGTCCGTGAACTGTGAGCAAAACGCGTCGCTTCACTTCTGGTCTTCACGATCCATTGCCCCAATTCACGGTCTTAGCGAACATGAACTAGCTTGGTGTCAGTAACCTTTGAAACCTCTCTGGATGCTTCGCGGTTCACGGTTTTTGGTTCCAGTTCACGGTCCTAGTGACCGTGAACTGCGTCTGCTTCCTGGACGCCCGCGCTTTACGGTCACGGGGCAATTGTCACGGTCTAGCGTCCAAACCGTGACTTTGGACGTTTTTTCACTTTTTCGCGCTTTTCGACCTCCAATCGACCCGAAACTCGTCCTCGATCCTTCCACACGTGCTAGGACCTGAAATGTATCAAAACAAGCACAACTTAGCATGAAATATGTCGAGGGACGATGAAATGCAAAGCCAAACTATCAAGAAATGAGGGGTAAAATGTGTACAATTGGACCCGAATCAAACTTGAATGTTGTTCAACTTCGCCATTTCGTAGGAAGCTTCCAAATCCTCCATCCGTAATTGTGCTGTCAACATTTTCGTTTGTCACATCATAAAAAAACTGACGGATTTAACGGATTTTGACAGAGACTAACGACCGGTGACTAACGCTGCAACGATTCGCAAAGTTAGTGACGAATAAGAAAGAAAAATAATTCGGGTGACAAACGTGTATGTTTTATGTAATTTGATGAGTGAATGAATATGTAATTGAGAGCCTATATCTATCAATAGCTATTGACTAACTAAAGTCCAATTCTACATTCTTTTTTAGTTTTTCTATTTCTTTTTTTTTTAATTCTTGGTATTAAAAAACTAATATGACGTCCAACTAACGTCATGGCAGTAACAAATTCAGCCGCGAAATGCGGTCATCTAACAACTAGAACTAGTTAATTATTAGTAGATTATTTAATTTTAATTTGCCTTTCAATTCTCAAATATGACATCGTCATTCTTACATTTTTTTTAAAATTTGAAAAGGACAACACCTTTGTTTGAGCAGAATTTAAGGATTAGTTGGGAACACAACAAGACGATGATAAAAGAATCCGAATTCCCCCACCCACTAGAAAATAATTATAATACCGACAGAAAATAAATTGCTTCAAGATGCTCCAAATACATGACATAGTCCCCCATATGGCGTTTTCACTAAAAATATATAACTAAATTTGTTTGTCTGACCGGCCGCAATTAATTCCTTCGACAACCTTATACTGGTTGTTCATCTCCTTTCGGCTTGGAAGCCGCCGCCCACCAACCTGTCCAATGTCGTTGTTTCCGTCCGACTCTTCCATTGCAGAAGCAGGGAGGAATATATAGTCTGGTGGAAGTGGGCAGCTCAAGTGAGCTATCAGTCGAAAAAAAAGCTGGTTCTGCTTCAGAGTGCTTCTCTGCCCCCTTCTTCATCATAATGTACAGTACATTTGACTTTATTCCCCGCCACCACCACCATCTTGTTATTTCAAAAACACAGAATGGATCAATAATGGATGATTCCTTTGTTTATTTGCCGGTCAAATGATTGATTATGAACTATAGTCTAGTTGAGTGCTCCTTCACACCTCTCTCAATGATGGTGTCTAACATCTGTCTTTTGACGTTCCAGCGGAAATTGCATTTGCTTTAACTGCACTTTTTTCCCGTCTTTCTTTAATGGGTTTCTTGTTTTACGAACTTGTTGATGTTCGCTTTGCTTCCACGCTACAGAGTTGCTCACCAAGAAGTTCCGTGGGGGGGAGAAGTGAGAGTTTATAGGAACTTTTTCGGGGAGGATCTTCGTGGTCGTCGATTTGTGTAATGGCTGGGGAGAAAGATGAGGAGGAGCAGATTGAGGGAGAGATTCCGCCTTCTTCAGATCATACTGCTGGGGAAGCAGGAGGAGGTGATGGTCATGAAGCAGGGAAGGGGAAGAAACCAACAGCTTCTGCTGCTGAGAACTCGGCTGCCAAATCGGTTCCATTCAGGAAGCTCTTCTCGTTCGCGGATTCTACTGATGTATTTCTGATGGTGTTGGGGACGATTGGTGCGATTGGGAATGGTATGGCCATGCCTCTCATGACTGTGATAATGGGGCAAACCATCAACTCGTTTGGACAGAACCAGGGCAGCAAAGATGTCGTCCACGCCATTTCCAAGGTACCAATTCACTCTCTCTGCAGTTGCTCTATTTGGTCTTCTGTAAACAAATCGAGAGTCAAATTTTTCTTCAAAGAATGGTGGTGTTAGTACCTTCGTAGATGTGGTGGTTTGGATTCGTGACGAAAGATAGATTTCGGGTTGTTTTGTTTTTCGATTTCAGGTGTCGCTGAAGTATGTGTACTTGGGTATTGGAGCTGGGGTGGCCGCATTTCTTGGTAAGTAAATTGATTTACATAACCGTGCAAGTGCAATGCTTTTGTTAATGGATGAACTTCCTTGTTTTTTCCCTTTCAGAGGTGACTTGCTGGATGGTAACGGGAGAAAGGCAGGCAGCAAGAATAAGAGGCCTGTATCTGCAGACGATTCTGAGGCAGGACATTGCTTTCTTCGACAGCGAAACGAGCACCGGAGAGGTCGTTGGCAGGATGTCGGGCGACACTGTCCTGATTCAAGACGCGATGGGCGAAAAGGTTAATTTGTCCCGAACAATATCATCCACATCCAACTCTCACCCTGGATTCTGAACCTCTAAATGCTGATATGTTGTTTGCAAAAACTTGGGCAGGTTGGGAAGTTTCTGCAGCTGACAGCAACATTCATAGGCGGATTCGCCATAGCATTCATCAAAGGGTGGATGCTCTCCTTGGTCATGCTGTCCGCCATTCCACTTCTGGTACTGGCCGGCGCCATGATGGCCACGATCATGTCCAAGATGACTGCTAGTGGGCAGCAGGCGTATGCAGAGGCCGGGACTCTAGTCGAGCAAACGATCGGCTCCATCCGAACAGTATGCATGTTCATGTTCTTTCTTGACTAGGAAGGGGAAATACATTAACAGATTAAGTATTAGCGATTAGCGATTCACAATTTTCTGCCGACAGGTCGCATCATTTACCGGGGAGAAGCAAGCGATACGCAATTACGACAAGTTTCTGGCAGTTGCATACAAAGCAGGGGTGAAAGAAGGCCTCACCTCTGGGGTAGGCATCGGGGTAATGATGGTGATTGTGTTCTGCAGCTACGCCTTGGCCATATGGTACGGCGGGAGGCTGATACTGGAGAAGGGATACTCCGGCGGACAAGTTTTGAACGTCATCGTCGCAGTTTTAACCGCATCCATGTGAGTTTTCTTTAACCCTACTTATTCTGTTTCCCTCTTGAAAGTGTTACATACATGAACTGCATTGCATACCGAATCTTTTTGTTGAACAGGTCATTGGGACAGGCAGCTCCCCCGATGGGTGCGTTCGCGGCGGGGAAATCTGCAGCGTATAAGATGTTCGAGACCATCGACAGGCGTCCGGTGATCGATGCCTCGGATCCCAACGGAAGGACGATAGACGAAATCCGGGGCGACATTGAGCTGAAGGACGTGCATTTCTGCTACCCGGCTAGACCAGAGGAGCAAATCTTCAGCGGGTTTTCGCTCTTCATCTCCAGTGGGAAGACTGCTGCATTGGTTGGGCATAGTGGGAGCGGGAAGTCGACCGTGATCAGCCTGATCGAGAGGTTCTACGATCCGCAATCGGGAGAAGTAATGATCGACGGAATCAACCTGAAGGACTTCCAGCTGAAGTGGATTAGACAGCAGATTGGGCTGGTGAGCCAGGAGCCTGTTTTGTTTTCGTCGAGCATTAGGGAGAATATAGCATATGGGAAGGATGGTGCCACTGATGAAGAAATCAGGGCCGCAACCGAACTTGCAAATGCTGCCAGATTCATTGACAAGCTGCCTCAGGTTAGTTAAAAAAAAAATGGAAGTAGTCAGGCTTCTAAGATCAAAATTGGTTTCTTGTAGTTGGAAATGAAATTTACCACGAATGCAGGGAGTTGACACGATGGTTGGCGAGCATGGGACGCAGCTTTCTGGCGGGCAGAAACAGAGGATCGCCATAGCCAGGGCAATCCTGAAGAACCCTCGGATTTTGCTGTTGGATGAAGCCACGAGCGCCCTGGATGCGGAATCAGAGAGGGTTGTGCAAGAAGCACTAGAGAGGATCATGGTGGAAAGAACAACTGTGATCGTCGCTCATCGATTGACCACCGTGAGAGATGCTGATGTGATTGCTGTCATTCACCATGGAAAGATCGTCGAAAAAGGTATGTCCTTTTTACATGCCCTTACTCACTCTGTCGATCGAGAAAGTTTAATTCGATGATAAGTTTGCTATGGTTCACAATTTTGAACAGGTTCTCATGCAAAACTACTGGAGGAGCCAGAGGGAGCATACTCGCAACTAATTCGCTTGCAAGAAATGAACAAAGAAACAGAGCAGCCAGAATCAGAACATCAAGATCCGGATAGGATCGAACTCGCTTCGGAATCATTCCGACAATCAAGTCTGAAAAGGTCATCAATAATGAGATCGACAAGCAAAGGGTCGTCGAGAAACAGCAGCCGCAGGTCGTTCTCAGTCTCGTTTGGTGTCCCCGCGGGTCTCGATGTTGTCCCCCTAGACCATCAAAACATGGAGGAATTGGAAGACTTCCCAAGAAAGGCAAACACCCCAGACGTCCCAATCTCCCGCTTGGCTTACCTGAACAAGCCCGAACTCCCGGTTCTCGTGGCTGGTACCATCGCAGCATGTGTCAATGGCGCCATCATGCCCCTCTACGGGGTCCTGATATCCAAAGCAATCATGTCCTTCTTCGAAACTCCTAGCCAACTAAAGAAGGATACCAAGTTTTGGTCACTCATGTTCATGACTCTTGGGTTGGCAACATTAATCGTGCATCCATTGAGGTCGTATCTTTTCTCGATCGCTGGGTCGAAGTTGATCCAGAGGATAAGGTCTACGTGCTTCGAGAAGGTGGTTCGCAATGAGATCGGTTGGTTCGACGAGCCGGAACATTCGAGTGGGGCTATTGGCGCTCGACTCTCGGCGGATGCTGCCATCGTTCGATCTTTAGTTGGGGATGCTCTGGCAGAGAATGTCCAGAATGTGGCCACCGGGGTAGCTGCTTTGATCATTGCATTCACCGCGAGCTGGCAACTCGCCTTCATCATCCTCGCGTTGATCCCTCTCACGCTCATCAATGGCTTTGCCCAAGCGAAGTTCATGAAGGGATTCAGTGCCGATGCTAAGGTATGTGAAAGAGAGCTTTTCATTTTTTGACATCCATTTTGAGAGTGTATGTATGAACTTAAATGAACCTGGTTTGATTCAAAAACCTATATTGTAGGCAATGTATGAGGAAGCTAGCCAAGTGGCGAATGATGCGGTTGGGAGCATAAGAACCGTTGCTTCCTTCTGCGCTGAAGAGAAGGTGATGGGACTGTACAGGAAGAAATGTGAAGGACCAGTGAAGAGTGGGGTAAAGCAGGGGATCATAAGTGGAGTTGGCCTAGGAATGTCATCGTTATTTCTCTACTCTTTCTATGCAATCAGTTTCTATGCCGGAGCTAAACTAGTTGCCAGTGGTGATGCAACGTTCCCAGATGTTTTCCAGGTGACTAATTACTCAACTTTCACTCTATAAATAAAATCTTAATACTCTGTTAAAGCTTCTCAGCCACTTGGTACTTGGAGGCTGCATTAAATTTTATCATGCTGTTCTCTTCCTTTTCTTTGAAGGTGTTCTTTGCTCTGACGATGGCATCAATAGGAGTCTCTCATTCAGGCACTGGTGCTGATACCTCCAAGGCCAAAGCAGCAGCTGCTTCAGTGTTCTCAATCATTGATAGGAAGTCTCAAATTGACCCGAGTGACGAGTCAGGAACAGTACTAGAGAATGTGAAAGGAGAGATTGAACTTGTTCATGTCGGCTTCAAGTACCCATCTAGGCCAGATGTCCAGATCTTCAGAGACATCAATTTAGCCATCCAGTCTGGAAAGGTACATGTTTGTCAAGAAGCATCCAATATCTAGATTGTGCAACGCTGAAATGCATAGCCTGAAATAGTAGTTAGTTTAAGGGAGGTCCTAATGTGTTTTGGCATGATTTGAGAATACTCCATAACTTCTTGTTGTTTGATTCCTTGTTGCAGACTGTTGCACTGGTGGGAGAAAGTGGAAGCGGGAAATCGACGGTGATTGCGTTGTTGCAGAGGTTTTACAATCCAGATTCGGGCGAGATCACGTTGGATGGCATCGAAATCAGGAAGCTTAACTTGAAATGGCTAAGAAAGCAAATGGGGCTAGTTGGCCAAGAACCTTCACTATTCAATGACACGATTCGAGCAAACGTTGCATACGGCAAGGAAGGAAATGCGAGCGAGGCAGAGGTTATAGCCGCATCAGAGCTCGCCAATGCCCACAGTTTTATTAGTGGATTGCACCAAGGCTATGATACGATTGTCGGGGAGCGTGGAATCCAACTATCGGGTGGGCAAAAGCAGAGGGTTGCCATAGCTCGAGCTATTGTTAAAGAACCAAAGATTTTGTTACTAGATGAAGCGACCAGTGCACTAGATGCGGAGTCTGAGAGAGTAGTACAAGATGCACTCGACCGCGTCATGGTGAACCGAACCACCATCGTGGTGGCTCATCGTCTGTCAACGATTAAGAATGCAGATTTGATCGCGGTGGTAAAAAATGGAGTGATTGTGGAAAAGGGTACTCATGAAAAGTTGATAAGCATCAGAGATGGTGCTTATGCTTCTTTGGTTTCTCTTCATACGACTGCCAAAACTGCTTAGTTCACAACTTTGAGAAGTTTCGTATTTAACTATATATAATAGCAGGTCATAGTCGGAATATTGTAGCATTTTTTGTCCTCTATCGAATTTGCTTCTCTTTTTTTCTGGTCTGAATCCAACTTCTCGCGTTTGAAGCTAACTACTTCCTTCACTTCCTCGTTTTGGTCCTCCGCTTGTCAACACAATTAGGGATGTCAATGGGTCGGGTCGAGTGCGGATAGTGCATATCCGTTACCCTACCCATAGTAGTTTGGGTTTTACCCATACCCATACCACATGTGAAATGGGTAGAAAATTAAAACCATGCCCATACCCGTTCGGGTTTCGGGTATCCACGGTTATCCATGAGTAATAATTTCTCTTCATAACTCCAAGCAATATGTTAACATTCACACGTATTCTCACATTACGTAAGAGGAAAAGTACGACAATAATTCACTAGAATGAAGAAAATTAATTAAAACTACATAATTTCATGAAAATATTATATTTATATGCTAAATATAAAATATGTTAGAGAACAATAATGATTATTTCTAGACAAAATACATATGCATGTGTATAATCGGGCGGGTTCGGGTTGGATAGTGAGAAACCCATGCCCACCCATTACCCGCAATATTCGGGTTCGGATTTTACCCGTACCCACTAAATGTCCTTCGGGTTCGGGTTTTACCCTACCCGATTAGGCCGGATTCGGGCGGATATCTATGATTACGGATATTTTTGCCATCCCTAAACACAATTCTTATACCGTTGCGAAACGTGAGTAAAAAACTTAGTTGTAAATAACTAGGGGTGTCCAATTGTAAATAATCCCTCTCTTCCAATTCATTATCAGGGTTATCGTCCGACCCATTATACCTTAGACGTAAAATAGTTGTAAGCTACGAGTTCTCAATTTCAATAAGTCACATAAGAAGAAGAAAAAAACTAAGAGTTAGAGCCTTAAACTCGTCATGATTTGGGAAACTACATAAAAAGTGTTTCATATAATTTTCCTTTCTTTTGCTTCCGCATTCTGAATTGCTTCGAAGCAACAAGGCAATGAATTTCACCCATGATAATGAGACATTTGCTTCTTACTTTTTGAGAAGTTAACTCATCTCATATCTGAAACCCCAGAAGGAATTACCATCAGAGCAAAAATTTTAAGCTTAGCGTCCATCTTATTCTCATCTGATACTATGGTTGCTTATGAGTTCATATAATGAGGCTGCTTTGCTCCAACTTAAGGCAAAAAAATTGGACAACGTTAAAGGCTTAAAACCTCATCCTCTCTTCAGCAGCCATAAAAGGCCACTATACTGTGCCCACTTGCTTCAGAACATTATCCACCAATTCATTCAGCAGCCGACATTGAACATGAACTTTCCACGATTGCAAATCTTGACTAGATAAGAACCCTCCTGCATAATTCCTTCCACCTATATATAAATCGAGAATCCATTGCCTATCTCATTCCAATTCAAAGCAAGAAACAACAACCAAAAATGTTTACCCAGCTCAATATGTTGCCGACACTATTAGTCCTCTGCATCTACCTGCTGTCCCTCTCCATCTTCCCTTCCACTTCCGAAGCCACCGTCCCTCCCTCCGCCCGATTCTCCTTCGTCAATGAAGGGGATTTTGGCGACTACGTCGTCGAGTACGACGCGAACTACCGCGTTCTGTCCATCGTCAGAGCCCCATTCCAGCTCTGCTTCTACAGCACCACCCCAGGGCAGTACACCTTGGCTCTGCTTATGGGTACCGTGAGATCTGAAGCCTTGATGAGATGGGTTTGGGAGGCCAATCGTGGCAACCCAGTTGGCGAAAACGCCACTTTCTCCCTCGGCGCAAATGGAAACCTGGTCCTGGCACATCCCGACGGCAGAATCGCCTGGCAATCCAACACCGCCAATAAGGGCGTGGTCGGGTTCGAGCTCCTCAACAACGGGAACATGGTCCTGAAAAATTCCAACGGCGGATTCGTCTGGCAGAGCTTCGATTCACCCACCGACACACTCTTGGTGGGCCAGTCGCTTCGACTCGGAGCTGCCACGAAGCTAGTCAGCCGAGCCTCGGCCGAGCAGAACAGGAACGGGGCGTACAGTCTGGTGATGGAACCCAGGGATGTGGCGATGTACTTCACTGGGACAAACAGTCGAACACCTTACAGGTACTTCTCATTCGCCGGCGCGCAACGCTTCTCCATCCCAGATGGAAGCACCGTACTCAACGTCACTCTGACCCCAACTCTGGGTCTCCAAGCCGAATTCGCCAACTCCACCAGCGGCGGCGGCGGGTATGTGTTCAAGAACCCGCGCTTCAACACCACCCTCTCGTACCTCCGCCTGGAAACCGACGGCAATCTGAGGATCCACACCTACATAATCGGGACCGATTCCGAAGGGTCCGAATTCCAGCGGTGGGAGATCTCCGTGACCGTGTTCTCCGAGGAGGATGTTTGGGCTCTGGAGACGAAATGCCAGCTGCCCGGCCGGTGCGGGGAATTGGGGGTCTGCGAGAACAGTCAGTGCGTCGGCTGCCCGACGCCGAGCGGGCTGGCGGGCTGGAGCAGCGATTGCAAGGCGCCGAAGCTGAGCGGCTGCGGCGGGAAGGTGAAGTACTTCGAGTTGAAAGGGGTGGATCATTTTGTGGTGAAGTATACGAGAGGGGATGGGCCGGTGAAGCAGCAGAATTGTGCGGACAAGTGTAGCAAGGATTGCAAGTGTTTGGGTTACTTTTACCATACGGATTCTTCGCGGTGCTGGATTGCGGAGGAGCTGAAGACGCTGACCAGAGTTGGGAATTCGACCCATTTGGCTTATATCAAGACGCCGGCGCAGTAAAAAAAAAGTTTTATTATTTTTTGCCCTTTTGATGCCGCAAGTGGAATAAAGTTAACCCAATGGGGGTTTAGTACGTATGAGTACTATGAGTTGGTTGGTTTAGTGAGTTAACAACCAAAAATAAAAGTATATACATTTGTGTCTGTACACCTATATTTATAAGGTAAAATAAATAAATAAAAATATTTAATCCATCGTGTTTTACTCGTTTTTTTAAACAAAAACTATTGAACTTGGTTGAATAGTTGTATTATCCAATTTTCGAAGCTAAAAATTCTAGGGTATGCCTACTATGACATGCATGTCACCGTGACATGGACTTTTCGGTCGACCTAATCCTAAAGGCGGTCGACCGAATTGACTAATTTAGGCAGCACGAGAAAGCATTGCGGTCGACCGTTCTTAGCTTAAGTTGTTATTTTTGGTTGACCAGAATAAACCTCGGTCGACCATTTCATTGGCGTCAGAAACAACATGGTCGACCGTAAAGGTATATAGGTCGACCACTTGATGGCAGTCATTAACAACATGGTCGACCAGATAAAGAAAGAGGTCGACCAGATAGACGATAAGTGTTCTATCAATTTATCCAATCATTTGACGTAAAATGAAGATCAAGTGTTGGTGTCGAGGTCGACCTAATCCGGTACGAGGTTGATCGAATACAAGAAAGTCAACCTATACCTCGTGTCTTTTTTGCTTATGTATGTCGATTTGTGTGGTTCTTTTGCTCGTATAAATTACGCTTTAAACCATCATAACTAGTCATAAATAATGATAACAAGGACTCATCAATTATGTTATGAATTGAGGTCGACCGCCTTTTGGATTAGGTCGACCGCAATGCTTTCACGTGCTGCATAAATTAGTCAATTCGGTCGACCACCTTTAGGATTAGGTCGACCGAAAAGTCCATGTCACGGTGACATGCATGTCACCGTAGCAAAATCCAAAATTCTAATGACAAGTCTTGTAAGTTGTAATGCACATTAACTTGAGAAAAAAAATATCAGCCTCCTGAGATAATCGGATATTGCAAGATTGAAGGTGTTTTACTCAGATACCTCAGTTATGATCCACATTGTGGTGGGTTGTGGTTGTACATGGGCGTTGGGTCGTTTTTGGGCCGGTAAAAATTTAACGGGGAAGATAGTATTAATCGATAATGTTTGAGAAATGTAACAAATAAGGAGTAAAAGAAAATGGGAAATATAACGAGTGTGATTTGGCTTTGTTTAATTTTTTGTCCATTTTTACTTATGTTAGTAATTACGTATATATCTTTATGACACTTCTAACAACAACAAATAATTATTTTTCTGCTTGTGTTTTGTAATATTGAACCTATAATTCTTTTTATATTTATTTTCTATCAAATAAATAATATTTTCATGCCATGTCCGTTCTTATACTCAATAAAGTCTCTAAAATATTAGGTCCGATACGGCACACTTATATACCGTGTCGTGCCCGTGCTCGTGCCCATGAAGTTTAAGCCCGACACGTCCCATAAATTATTCTTGCTCGTGCCGGGATGGCCTATTTATTTCGTGTCCGTATTTGTGTCATGCTCTAACCGTGTCGTGTCGTGCTAGCCCGTGGACTCCCACGGTGGTCCTCCTAATTTTTATATGATTTTTAGCTTCTTTCTTCTCTTTTGAATTGAATTCAAAGTACTATATAGGTCAAGTGTGTCGTACAATTTGGTTTATATGATGTATGTTGACGAAACAAAATTATTGGATATATATTACTACACATCGGTTTGGCTCATATAGAATCTTGTAGTATCATCGGAACACATATCACTAGGGATGGTAATGGGCGGTTTTGACTAAACCATCTCAGTAACAGACATAGAATTTTGGGATAGGTGTGTCGACCAATAAAATAAAATTAAAAATAAATTAATTAATTAATTTAAAATAATCAAACCAATTTTATTCATAAATTTCACCAATTTTATTATTCTTACAGTGAACCACGACGATTTCTCATATTCTCACAGATTTCTTAATTGCATTTGTCAATTAGGTTGCAAATCAAATATTTTTTATGTACAAAATGAAACAATTATTCATAAATTGGTCACTCAACTTATACCAAAGATTGTTCTTGATTAAACTCATATATGGGAAATGTCATTTTGTAACTTGCAGTTGCAAGAGGTCAAGTCAATACTAATTTAAGATGAGAAATTTGGTATGAGAAGCTCGAAGGGTGGCCACATGTGCCAACGTGGAAATTTGAATGAGCATGAGGATGTCGTTGAAGGATGGCTACAGGCGTCAACGTGGAAAGAAATAACTAAACTAGAAAGCAAGTTGAAAATTAATTTAAAGAAAAATCTACGGA